AATAATAATAATAATAATAATAATAATAATGATGATGATGATGTAGAGATTGCTCTTAGGTTAGAACATACTCATTCAAAGTTCGTGACCCTTCGTAACGAAGGGACAAAGGGATGTCGAGGGCGTAGAAACCGTAGCGGTAGGTATTATTACGTACGATCTGCCGTACGATCTCGCAAATCAGTCCATTGTACTATTCCCGGGTTGCACGTCGAATCCGTGCCGATGTTCATCGATTTATTTCGGGGGAAGTTAATCCACCGAAACGAGACAGAAAGCCTGTCGATTAATCCTCGGAGAAGAACAGAGAGAAAGAGAGAGAGAGAGAGAGAGAGAGAGAAAAAAGAGAGAGAGGGAGAAAGAGAGAGAGAGACAGATGTCAGGACGAATCTTTTAACGAGTCGCTGTATAATCTTTCGAAAATCCCTGGGATCGATGTTTCTTCGTGAGTTTACAGGGAAATCTCGTTTGCGTGCAAGACGCGGACGTTAATCACGTTCTTAATGGCGGCCACGGAAACGTTCTTTTCCAGGGCAATTCTTCCGCGCTTGCAACGTCAGGGCTTAACGCCCGTACGTTAATATCTTGATGAAAGAAGCTCACTTTTTTTTTTCTCTCCCTTCTTTCCATCTTTCCTTTTCTTTTTTTTTTTCCCTTTTCCTCTTTCCTTTTTCCTCTTTCCTCTTTTTCTCTTCTAACCTTTTTCATATAGAAATTTTTAACAATATCATTAACCGACGTAACCCAGATGAACCTTCCTTCCATCCTTCCTTTCTTTCTTCCTTTAGGTACCACGTTGAATTACAACTTGGGATCTCTATGAGAGGAACTTTTTAGTCGTAGAATAAGCAATTTATTAGGAACGTAATGATGTTAAAGTTGTATCGAAAATTCAACCACTCACTCATCCCTCCACCCTCTCATCCTTCTTGTTTCTTGTTCGTGGATGTATTTCGACCGGGAAATTCGTCCTAAAGAGGGAGATTAAAAAAAAAGATCAACGTTCTCTCTCCCTTTATCCCCTCTCTGTCTCTCTCTCTCTCTCTCTCTCTCTCTCTCTCTCTCTCTGTCTGTCTTTTTCTCTATCTATCTCGATCGCCCTCCCGTCGAAAATCCTTTTGTCACAGCGATCCGTTGCACGGTGTGCATTTGAAAGTGGCGCGAGCTCTTTTTTCGCTGCACCGAACGCAACGGGGGATGGTAATAGGGGTGGGGCGAGGAGGTGGGGGAGGGGAAGGGGTGGTAGAAGGGGACACGCGAAACGTAGTGGACGAGCTAATAAAATGTGCACGTTGAACAAAAGAGCCCGCCACGGGTGGGCGGGCGTAGAGACGACGTCTGTAAAAAGTCCGGTTACGAGAGGGTCGCGTGCGAATATATATGATTCTGTAAGCCGTTACCATCGCGATCGTTTATGCGAATACCAAAGTGGCCGTCGTTAAACTCCGAACGATACTCGATACTCTGACGGTGTACCGATGGTATATTTGATGGTTTGACCTCGTCTTCGCCAAAAAGAGGTCGGAATAACGGAGGCAATAGGTAAGTACTCTTGCGCTTGTTATAAGAAATTTATAACAATTTCGGTGAATCATGATTTTTGTTTGACGAAACTTCATACGATAAATCTATTAACGCAGGCTGTTAAAATTAAGATGATAATTTCGTTCGATTGAAAGTCAATGCTAATGCAGTTATATAATATTAAAGTATAATAGAACGTATCTTTTTATCTTTTATTTTATTTTATTTTATTGTAATTAATATTATTTATTTATTTTATTTTTTTGTTTTTTGTCATGTTTTGTTTTGTTTTATTTTTAATCTAAACATTATTGTCAGACGTTATTTATTTATTAGGTATATTATAATTTCTATGAATATTGTTAAATTATCATTTGTTACGTTGCTTGGTCATATCGAAGGAAATTGAAGAATTAGCGGGCTGTTGTAACGCAGCAGGGGTCAGTTAGAAAGTTCAATTATTCGTATATGTAATATAGGTTTTTACTTATGTACATACATGGCTCGCAATAATTCTTTTTATTTCAGTCGACATGCTCTCGCATATTACGCGCTACAGTTTTCGTCGTTGCTTCGTTACATTTTTTTTGTTGTTTGTTTGTTTGTTCGTTTTTTCTTTTTTTTTCTTTTTTTTTTTTCTTTTTTTAGTTATACAATTTGAAGAAACGTGTAAACGCGTCATTCAACTTTTATGTGTCTCGTTCTCGTTTTCGTTGATGATTGATGTTGACCATGAAAAAAAAAAAGTATCACATGGAGAACGTGCAAGTACTTAAACGCGACGAATCTGGGAATTCTGTGTATAACCACAAGGAATAAATGAAAAGTCAAATGGTCATAAAGATCGAAAGTTTTTTTCATTGAAGCTTTTTGATTGAGTATGAGTGCGTCAACATGTTCTTCAAAATGTTTTGCCAGCTTTAAAAAGGAGAATAAAAATACAGATTCAAAGAGAAAAAGAAAGAAGAGAGAGAGA